AACTATTCTATTTATAAAAATACCTTAAAGTTGAAGAGTAATAACACTCTTCCATAACTCTTATACCCGAATAGCACCATCGTCTCAACGATTACAAGTATAGAAACATTAATACACTTTTTCTTTAGTTAATAATCTCTTTTTATCAATTATCTCTCTGAATACTCTCTTTCAACTCCTCTTTTCATCTTTGATAGAATTGTTTAACAATTTCTATCAAAATTGACACAGACTTAGATACTTATTTTTGCACTGATCAATTTTATTAGTCTATTTCTCTCTCCTAACTCATATAACTCTTTTACTAATAGTGAAGAAACCCTTTATTTAAAGTAACTGTAGTAATATTTATATATATATTTATGCATATTTATTTATTATATTATAAATATTAATCTATTATCTAAATATATTATTATTCAAATTAGATAATAACTATAAAGAGATTTTTTTATTATAATTAATATATATTATGAAAATTATTTAAGAGTAATAATAATTATAAAGAAAATATAATTATATAAGAATTTTTTTATTAATTAAAAAATTTGAAAAAACAAAATTGAATAATTATAAAAAGATATGATTAGAAATAGTACAATAAGTATATAATACTTATTTATTACTTGTTGCAACATGTTATAACTTCAAAATTTTATAAATTATAACTAATTATAATTAAATAATGCTTTATTTGTTATCACATTGCAATAATTACTGTATTATCTTTAAGTGTAACTATAAATAAGTGTAACTATAAAGGGATTTAATTATATTTTTATATTTTATTATAAAAATTATAATTATATAATAATTTTTATTTGTTTATATATATATTATATTTTTTATTTACTAAAAAATAAAATAATTATTAAAAATTTAAAAATTTATATAATTAAAAAATTAATAAAATATAGTTTTGAACTTAAAATAATTTTTATTTTTTAGTAATAAAAATTTCAGTATTTTAATATTTTGTTAAAAAGATTTTAACAAATATAAGTTTATATTTTGAAAACAAAAAAAATTAAATTATTCAAAAAATATCAAAATATAAAATTAATTTAATAATAAATTTCTTTTCAAAATATTATTATAAAAATAATTACTTTAAAAACTATTTAAAAACTTTAAAGTATAATTAAAAAAATAATAGTAATAATTTAAAAATTAAAATTACAAAACTATTTATTTTTGTAAACATAATTATTTATAAAATAAAATTTTTAACTTGCAAAATATTATTATATATATAATTTTATTAAATAATTATATATTTATATTTTATTAAATAATAATAATTATTAATTTAATAATTATTTTAACAAATATTTCAAAGATTATTTTAATAATTACTTCAAAAATTATTTTAATAATTAATTTAATAATTATTTATTTTATAATTTTTTAATAATTTTATATTTATAAAAAAATTATGTATTTTAATTGGTTTTTAAATAAAAAAGTAAATAAATTAGTATTATCTTTAATATTATTTTTTAATTGATTACAGTTAATTTTGAATATAATAAATATATTTTATAATAAATTTTTTTTGTAAAAATTTATTTATTACTATTAAAATTATTTAATTTGATATAGAAAAAGTTAATTATAGATAATATTTTATTTATTTAATAATAAGTTAATTTCTACTAAATTAATTTCTATTATTATTATTTGTTTAAAAAATTATTAATATTTTATTTAATTATAAAAATAAATATATATTACCTATATTTAATAATTAAGTTTTTAAAATTTTATAATAAAAGATAATATAAGATATTTAATATTGTACTATAATATCAATTTTAAATTATATATTATATATATAATAATTAGTCTAATTAATTAGTATTCTTTATTTTTATTTAGTAAATATTAAAATTGTAACTTGATAAATTTATATTTCAAGAAAGAAAAAATTTAATCACATTTTATTAAATTATTTTTTTATATTATTCTTCCTTTTTAAATTATAATATTATTTAAAAATGAATATTTTATAATATTATTTCTTTTGTCTAATTGTAATCACATGAAATATATATCTTATATTTGAAATAATAATACTATTTAATTATATAACTTTTATATTTAATTAATATGTAGATTATTGGGTTATAATTATTGTGAAATTTCTTAGTACTTAAAAATGAATATATAATATAAAAACACATATTTGAAATAATATTCATTGAAAATTTGTTCATATAGTATGGCAATAAAAAGTTTAAAAATTAGTTTGATTTAGTAAATTTTTTTCTTTTTAAAATATATAGTTTTGTCTTTACTATATGAAACTTTTCTAATGTGATCATCAGAAAATGGAGTTGCATACTTGTTCCTGTAACTTTTCAAATGTGAATATTATTTTTTAAATCAATTTTCATATTCTTTTATAACACAAGTATTATCTTAAAAATTAGTTGATAACAATTTCTTACTCAAAGTTAATCATCAAACGTAATAATTTTGCAGACTCAGATGAATACCATTCCTTCTACTGTCGTATATTTATTACATATGTATATATAGCTATAATACGTATCTATAGTATAATAAAAAGTTCTATATAAAACATATATGTGTATATTTACTATATATTGTTAAACTTAAATAAAATAAGAAAAAATAAAGCTATTGATTTATTAATTACCATGTTTCTATTAATTTATTATTTTATTTCTTATATTTTTACCTATACGGAGCCCAAACCTTTACAGTCTGATCCACCGAGCCGGTAGCCACCACAGGAGTTACAGGGTTGAAAGCGATACACGTGACAAAGTGAGAATGTGCATCACTGAGAGTTTTTGTGCATCTGCCTGTTTTGATGTCCCATATCTTTATGGTTTTGTCATCGGATGCACTGAGCAGGTATTTACCAGTAGGATGGAAAACTAATCCACGCACCCAATTGTCATGGCCAATCTAACAACATAAAATATACGATTGCAATTGCAATAACAATAATTTGGTTTATTAAATTATGCATTTTATGTATTTTATTAAACAAAAAATTTTATGAACTTTACCAGAGTTTTTATGCATTGCCCCGTCGGATCCCATAACTTTATGGTTTTATCTCTTGAGCCGGTTACAACGTATTGTGCCGGCAATGGTTGATCTTTGGGATTATTAGCCTTAGGCTTTTTTATTATATGAAATAAAGGAGATTATAAGTAAAATAATATATTTTATAATAACAAACGGTAAATATTCTTTATAATTTACATCTTTTTCTACACCAGCTAATTCTCTTATATAAGGATATGCAACAATCGGGGCAAAAATAGCGCATTCTACTACGTGATCATGGCCTCTGAATTCCATTTTGCATTCTCCGGTTGGTACTTCCCAAAGACGTGAAGTCTATTGAAAAATTAATAAATTAAGAAAAAATGTAAAATAAAAATAAATCAAAAAATATATTTTTTATTTCTTCTAACCTGATCATTAGAGCTAGTAACAAGCCATTTACCATCTTCGCTAGGTGTAACAGAGCGTACCCACTCTAAATGGCCAGTAAATGTTTTCACACAAAATCTATTATTGATGAATAAATAAGCAAAACAAAAAATTAAAACTTAATAATGAATATAGACAAGTAATAATGAACGCCGTACCCTGACGCAAATTCCCATAATTTAATCGTTTTATCACGTGATGCGGAAACAATAAAATCTCCAGACGGCAAAAATGCAACCGAAGAAACACTATGATCGTGACCATACAGAGTTTTCACACATTTATGTTCGCTTTGTAGATCCCACACTTTTATCGTTAAATCCGCTGAGCAGGAGACTATTTAATAATGAAAATAACAAATTAATAGAGTAGTGCAATCCATAATAATAAATGGTAAAAAAATATAACATACCTAAGAAATTACCCTTTGGATCGAAAGCGATATCTTGAACTGACTTAGTATGACCTCTTAACGTTCGTTCGAATTCACCAGTTTCGTAATCCCAAATTTTTATGGAGGTATCCTCAGATGCGGATGCTAACACGGAAAACACTGGATGAAACGCAACACGTGTAACAGGATTTCTGTGACCAGTCAATGCAAATTTCTCTGGTGCTCTTGGTAAGAAATCTACCGCGGTATTCTGTTTTCTAAGCGGTGCATTATTCAATTCTTCTTGTAATTGCGTGATTTTAGCTTCTTGATCCATTATCTGGTTTATTAATTATATTTTTATTTTAATTAAAGGACTAAATATTTTTATATTGACGAAAATTATTAATAAAAAAAGTCACATCATCTTTATACCTTTTTCTGGAGCCGAATAACAGAAGTCCACTTTTTTTCCAGTAGTCCAGCATATTTTTGTGAAGGATCCGGATTAAAATCTTCATGGTGTGCCTCGTTTTTTAATGAATTGAAAGATTCTGTAAAGCCGTTAGCCACGAGATAATCGAGGAGTGCTTTGTGACTATTATTAATTATATTAATTAAAAATGAAAACATTATTACATATATAATTAAAAATGCATTTATTCATTTTTGTTTTGATTGATTTATTAATTTCTCGGGAAATAATTCGCTTTTAGTTTGGTATGACAAAGATAATAACGTTTTCATTATAAAAAATAAAGATACTGGTTACAATAAACATAGGAATGCAATTTTCGAATGCATTCAAAGAAAAAATTATTAAATGATGTTCTACTTCTTGAAGACTACTTACAGTTCGTCTCTTTGGCGATCTGATAATACTGTAGCCATGACACGTGTATGTTCGCGGACAATGAGTGAAAAAGTCGAGAAGGATGAGATGGAAAAATGCAATGTATGATTTAATAAAAGTTTGGTTGTACAGTCAACCCCTCTAGTCACACCTGCTTAAGCCATTACAGTCAGGGATATTACCAAATGCAGATAAGAGTGATTATTTCTTTTTATAGTTAAGATAAATGTTTTAATCTAAAAAAGTTGAAAGCTTTATTATTTATTTATATATTGTCAAATGACAAGTTTCAGCTAAAAAACATGAATAAAAGTTAATTAAAATAATTTAACCTATTTTTCTTAGTTGAAACTTATTTTTAATAATATTGAACATTGAAAATATTTCACAAAATTAATATCTATTTATTTTCTTATAAAATTAATATCTATTTATTTTCTTATAAAATTAATATCTATTTATTTTCTTATAAAATTAATATCTATTTATTTTCTTATAAAATTAATATCTATTTATTTTCTTATAAAATTAATATCTATTTATTTTC